ATAGACTTCGCCACAGTAGGGCCATTTGCGGATCAGTAAACTTAATTTTATAGCAACTCTTTAAATTTGTTCTTTACCATTCTTTTATTCATCAGCCTCACACTACAGTATTTTTATTAAATTTCAATTCAATGGTTATAAATACAGGATATAAATGCAACAGAATTTAAATGCATTTTATTTGCCAAATGGCTCGTGCTGCAGTCTCGAATAGATGTAAATTCTATAGTGAATTGATATATTGTGCATGGTTTTACTAGTGCTGTAGCTCATCCATGATACAGGTTTCATATAAAATATACCAGATGCCTTTAGTCATTAGTAGTCTATTGCTTTAAAATATCCTTATTATTAGAGTTATTGAAACTGGTACCTTACTTTTAGCATTTAAATTCATACAAAACACATAAATTCCCAAAGGTGGAACCAAAATCAGTCACTCCCTCATTTGTTGTTCTAAGGTACTTGCATTTTCAAATAGTAACATGATATTCAGGGAAACATAAAATTAAATAAGACTAAATAAACATGCCTATTGTTGGAAGTTTAGCTATATTAAACTTTTATCTAAATGTTTCTTTGGCTGCTGCGGAGTTGGGATGAGCTAGCAACAACCCTTTTAGCACCCCCTGGATCTGCCACTAAACTTACATCCTGTATTACTGGCCTCTACTTCTCATCTTTATCATAGTAGCTACTTTGTACATCGTAATTCTCCAATTCTTTAAAAAAAATGTATACTCCATTATTTTGTGATTTATAAGTGTCATATATCTAGTCATGTACTTCTTATAGTTAAAAAAAATGCAAGTAATGTTCATTAAAAAAAGAAATTAATAAATTGTTCTTAACTGTAGAAACGTCATACGGTTGCTGGCAATTCAGTTTGAATTCAAAAACCAGTATAGTACTTGAAACAGACTTAATCTAAAACTGTTCATTGTTCAAGCATTTTTTTTTTTTCGCTACTTCAATCATCCGTGGCTAAGTTGAGAAGAATGCCTTAACATGAAAGACTCTTTACTCAGGTATTTTTTTTAACTTTACGAAAGGGAGATCAGTGAACCCAGAGAAAGATCTTTGCTAATGGGGCATTACCAAGTATAACCTATATAGCCATAGACCTACAAAAGTAAATTTCTCAACTAAACTTCTAGAAAATTGCAGTAAGCATTTTACCATTGTTCTGTAGAATAGTGAATACTTTTCCATCAGTCAAGGACATTTCACTTTACCCAATCGGTACATCCTACCAATTTAATTTTCGTCACGGAATGCGAAAAACCTGCAAGCTTCATTTTAATGTGTATTGTTTGATTTCCCTGTTTTTTTTCTTTTCTATCAAAGCTGGCCAACAAACACAAAACATTACAACATTCACAAACGCACACCAACCTGCAACGTTAGTATAACACAAAACTTTTAGTTGGATTTTTATTTGTTATGTGACTTATAAGTTCAAATTCTATGGAACATTTTACATTCATAACAATTATGAATTTTCTTAAACTACATTGAATATAATATTTCATTTAATTCAATTATTTATTTGTCCTCACAGGCCCGTAATCAGGAGTTGTGGGTGTTCTTCCAAGCTCCCTTTTTGACCAGTTAATTACTGTAGTAGTATTTTATCATCACTTTGTTTATTAAAGAAACATTTCTGAGTTACACTTGGCCTATAGAAAACCCTCTTCCTATAAACCTGGTTCTGGGCCTCAACGTACAAATACATAAAAATATAGCCAGGGGCAATAAATGGCAAATTAGGAAATTCAGCTTATTGAATATTGTACTTTATACATTAATACTATTTGTATCACCCAACCAAAACATTGGCAATTAAAAGAGATTTCCGGTAGGCAGTTGGTCCTGTCATGCTCTCTAGCCACAAACAAGAATTAACTGTTAAGCGAAATATTTATTTTTACACTTTATTTATTAAACTTTATGTTCAAATATTGTCAGAGGAAGTGAAAAATTTGTTTTTTTCTCATTTGGGAAATTTGTTCTGTTAAAAGCACCTAGGTAGAGGAGAATAAAAATTAAGTTTTATTGATGAAAAATGTGTGTACGTGCATTAAGGAAGTGTTATTGAGGGCAGCCTTAGGCCCTTGCTTAAGAGTCTGTGGCAAGGTCATAAATAATTTAATGTTGCCATGTAAGCTGTTCAATAATAAGATTAATAAATTAATGCTTTATATTTATTGAATTGTGAGAAGGAAATAAAGTTCTTATTGGGACATTTCATACAAAAAAACATGCGTTTTCCTCAATTGTTTTTCCAAAGTGGTGGGTATGCTAACAGGCTAAAAGTAAAATACTACTTTGATTCAAAATGATTATTTTTGATGAGGAGAAGATTGTGAAAAGTGTAAAAATATCTGTATTCGTTTTCCATAAAAATTAGCTTGTTTGAGATTATGATTATGTAAAACTAATTTTTGTCTATGAAAGCTGCATAGTTTGGTTCTACAGTATGGCATTTTTTTTTTGTGTCGGGCACTTTTTCATTCTTGATGTTTGTGTTTTTATTTTTTCATCCCACAAAAGGAATTTTTTTTATACAGTAACTAAATCCCTAAACACCTTGTCAGTAGGATAATTATTTTTTATTCCTTTTACAAATGTTATTGTGATATTATTTAACAATTTCTTTCTAACATTGTTTAATTTTTTAATAACATATGGTATGTAGTATCAGCAGGGAGTTGAATATGAACAGGTGAATTTTATCTAATTTGATTAAAAAGCAATAAAAAAATATTGCATATAAAATTTCTTTTATATATTAGATTAATGTATTACAGTAATGAGATTATGATTATTATTTCATTTCAAGGCTACTAAACAGCAGTAGAACTGATAACTGATTTTTATTATTATTATTTAGTTCTAATTCAGATTTTTTTTTTTTTAATCAAAATTAAAGTTTACTTTCTATGAATGCCCTTCCTCTTGCCTGTAAATGTCATTTGACTAGAGGCACTAGTATTATAAAATGGAAGTTGAGGGGGTGGATGACAAAGAAGTAGTAAAATGTATTTGATTGTGCCCAGGACTATGAAAGCTATTATACAAGAAATCTGGCTTCTATGTGGTATCTAGAACTTGCAACGTCACTGTCCAATAAGGTTTGAAATGATTTAGTTAGAGTCTGTTAACTTTTTAAAAATCTGCCTTGGAATCTGTTCCAAGATCCCATTGTCCACATGAACTTAGCTGTGTACACAAAGCTATAAACTCTTACAGATAATTTTCTCATCAACAAGTAGGCCCACATCATCCATCCATGACACACAAAACGCTATGTTAATATAAGTTCACAGACAGGCCAAGAACAGTCCCACCATTTAAATCTGTTAATATTTAAGAATGTAAATTTTACTGACAATATATAGAATTTAAAACTGTGTGATGTCACCTGAGTCTTATAGAGTTGGTTTTATTCAGGAAACAATATCTTGGAATTTTATGAAATTTTACGTAAAATCTTATGTTTAAAACATGGGAATAAAGTGTTAATAGTACAATAGCAGCATTTGCAATAGCACAAAAAATAAAAGATACAGTACACAGTATTACAAATTCTATTTGAAAATAAAAGGAATAATTTGCCAGATTTAAAATGTTAGAACTTGGTTGAACTCTGTCTATAGTATTTTCTTTCTGTTAAAAAATACAAATTGGATCCATAATGCTGCTGCAAGATTGGACAAAAAACTGAAGAGAACTGTAAGATTCTAATTCTCCACTGAGATCCTCTATCTAGTCATTTTGCATTTCTTAAAATTACAGTAAAGGATGTAGTTAAAAGTTGTAGATAAATGATTCTCCCAAACCAAAGATTAACCACCAAAAAAGAAGTGTCTTTCTTGGGAGCTATTGAATGGAATAAATTATCAGATGTTAAGTTTTAAGAAAAATTTATAATTGAAATACTGTTAAAAATTATGTATTGCTTTATTACTGGGAATTTGTTTGTGATTTTCATTAGTATAATTGCTAAGTTATATTTTCAATTTTTATGTTTTGTATGTAAACTTGATATAAACTAAATAAATGTGATTTTGGCCATAATTAAAGCCAGTAATATGTACTTCATTTAAATTTATGGTTACAGTTTATCTGCAGATTGCATTGTTGTTTGAATAATGTTATCCTTTACTTTTAAAATCAAAATGAAGTCTTGAGTTTTTTGGTTCTTCCTGGTTTAAACAAGTCAGTAAGTGTTCTCCAACTACTGGTTTTGGTGAGAAAATTATATGAACCTTTCACCTCCATAAGACTAAATTTCATTGTGATACAAAATGATGCCGATATTTCACCGTCTTCCAGATGAACGGCTGTGGATAAAAGCCAGCAAATCGGCCGCGCTTATCAACCATGCTAACATGCTCTCCCACCTGTGTTCTTTTGTGTGATGGATTTTCCTTAAAATCTGAATAAAATACAATTGCTCGACCATTTCTTTGTAAGGATGTATTAGTCAGTTATTGACTAATTAACCCCAGGCTCAGTACTGCCCAGACTTGCCTGAAATTTGCTCATGAATTTTCATAGCATTTTTGACTTTTGAATGGCTAGAAAACATGTTGATGACTATAACAGTTATAAATCTAGATTGAGATTAGATTGATATAAATTACAGTTCAACTCTGATTTAGTTTTTTTAAGAATGTGGATTACCTTAGCTAGAATGTGAGTGAGTGTGTTTAACAAAGGAGAGGGAGGTCACTCAAAACCCTTTTGTCTGATTTTGGGGTTCCAGTCAATTATCACAATATAGTTAACTTGCACTTGATTAATTCCTCAATTCAGTAGCATCACAACAACATTGGTAAAACCTAAGATGGTGTAATTCTTATATGATATGTTCATATCATATATATATATATACAT